TTCCAACCCTAGTAAGCAACTACTAAGATCTTGCTTGCTTGTATGACTTCAGACTCTACTATCCTTAATCCAGATTTGGCCCTGACTGTGCACCCTGATACTCCACCATTACACACGCAATACCAACATCAAGCTATTGACACCGAGCTACTGCGATGGCTGAGGATCGCCGCAGCCTTCTGTGCGGGGGCCCATCGTCAGGACAGCCAACGCTGCTGCACTGTTTGCCACTTTGAACACACAAGCTTGTTAAAAGGAGAAAAAGCTGCGCATGGTGATGCATTCCTTTAATCCCAGCACCCAGAAGGCAGACACAGGTGGATCTCTGTGAGTTCAAGTCCTGCCTGGTCTACATAGTGAGTCCCTGTTCAAACGAACATGATGCGTTTCTCTATCGTGAGTGGTAGGTTCCACAGGGCTGCAGAAACTGCTCAGCAGCTGACGGCACCAGCTGTTCTCCAGAGGACTTATATTTGTTTTCCAGCACCCACAAAGGTAGGTCACAGTCTTCTGTAACTCCAGTTCCAGATCCAAACCCTCTCCTGGCCTCTGCGAGCACTTGCACATAGATGGCCTAGACTCACATAGAGGCACGTTTAACAAAACAGACTACTTCAGGAAAAAGCACCAGTGTCCTTAGAGACAGTGTTTTCTTAGGGAACTTAGGAAGTCTTGTGTTGTCTTGCCTCTTTATGCAAGGAGGCTGCATTGGTACTGTGTGGAAAACAAAGACCTAAATCTTATTTCTGTCTTATTAACTTGCTTTTCCCTTCAAAAACCTGGAGTATGCAGGTTCACAATTTAGGGGCTATCAAAAATCAGTATTTTCCCCTTTCCTGTCTATGTAGGTCAAGGGTGTGCATGAGTGTGTGCAAGGCCAGAAGTCAGTGTGTTTTTCAGCCACGTTTACCATTTCTTCTCTTTAGATTTTTCCTTTTAGTTAGTTATTTTTGTATGGTGTGCATGTGGGGCAGCGGTGCGGTGAGGGCGGGGTGTGCATGAACAGCACTGGGGAGGTCAGAGGACAACTTGCCCGAGTTGGTTCTCTCCATCCTCCTGGGCCCTCGCAATTAGACTTGGGTCATTCAGCCGGGTGGCAAATGCCTCTACCAGCTGGGCCCCTTTGGCTGATTCTTTTCACTTTATTCTGGGATCTCCTGCGGATTTTGGAGGCCCGCCAACCTGGCCAGACTGGCTGGCCAGGAAGCCTAAGATCTGCCCATCTCTGGCCCCTCAAAGCTAGGGTCCTTAGCACATTTGCCTTCTGTGTGGTGCTGGGGAATCACACTCAGGTCCACATGCTTGGTGGGCACTCCACCAAGTTAGCCGTCAGCCTTGCCCACAGATCAGCACTTTGTAAAAGCATGCTCCACAGTCCCCAGAGAGCCCAAATTTCTCCTATGATAAAATAAAGATGGCGCTTCCGTCCCCTGTGACGGCCTCTGTGGAGATGGGGCACAAGTACTAGTGACACGCTCTGCGGCGCTTCAAGGTGAGTCTACTTGGCACGGCCACACAGCTAGCGAGTCTACCCGGCACGGCCACACGGCTAGCGACTTTACTAAGCCTTGACTCTTTTTACTACCGGTACAAAATGGAGCACTCAGAAGCTAGCGGAGAAAAACCCAACGACATCTTTAATTCACTCGGGGAAGGGAAGGATTTTCCTTAAAGGAGCACACACCCAGCAGCACCTGACTACCCACTTCATGTGGAGAGCAAGCTACTGCTTTAAGGGTGGGAAGCATCAGTGACAATCACCAACAGTCACGACCCTCTTCATTATTGTTGAGGGTTATGTTGAGAGTCACTGTGCTTGCTACGCTTCTAGCCCACTTGTGATAAGAAGACTCTGCCACTGAAAACGCACACTTCTTCAGTATCAACAGGAAGTACGTGCCCATCCTTGGCATAACAAAGAGAGCTTTTAGGTGGCTCTGCTGTTAATACTGTGTGCAAGTAGCAGACACCTTGCTTCCAAGTTTCAGTTGGCATTTGAGTAACTACGCCTCATATTTACACTATGTCTGTTATTCCTCTATGGTGCCCGGCCATCTAGACCTGTTCAGCTTCGCACAGTCCAAGTCTGCACACCACCTGCCTACGCCTTCCTTCACAAAGCTGGCTGCCTAGTCAACGTTTCATCTGCCCTTTTAGAAACCTTTAATGCACCTGAGAATTATTTAAGCCATTCAATCATCCCAATTTAACAACATATTTAATGTCAATATGCTACTTAGCATTATTAGTCGCATTTAGTACCATCATTTAATTATTTGACACTTCACAGTAAGTAATCTTAACTGACCCCAATACTAGGACTCACTAATCAGACTGACCTCAGTAATAACAGTAAGACTCGGTATACACAGAGCCATCGGTATCTGCTCTACCAGTCTGTTTTGAGCTTTCTGAGTCTGTATTCGGAGCTTTTCCTTGTTGGGCTCTATGGCCTCGCAGGACTCCAGTGGACTACTGCACTGACATGGCCCTACTCGAGTTATTTCTTAAGCAATGCTTTGAGAGCAAGACTTTATACAACGTCATGGTGCACGTGCATAAGGAGATTCCTGGGTACATCTGTGGGAGGACAGAATCTTTCTCTTAGAAAGATCAGAGCTCAGTCAAAGTGTATAAACATCTCAGATTTCTCACAGCCATTTCCAAATCTCTGCCCCACAAGGTTGCATCAACTTATAATGCACAGGAGACTTATCTATCCCTCATTTCTGACAAAAGCCTTTGGATTTTTTTTTTTCTAATCTAGCAAGAAAAAAAGAAATATTAAAGTCACATTTCCTGTTTTTTTGTTTTGTTTTGGTAGGTGAAATAAAGCACATTAACTTATTTTAACAAGCTACTTGTTGTCCTTTTAAAATTATTAGCTGTTAAACTCTTTGGTGGTATGTCAATTCCACTGTATGTATTTTTCTCAGTCATTTCTAGGAGCATCTTACATTTTTGAACCTTGACTATTTGTGGCATGAATTGTAAATATTTCTCCAATTTGTCACTAGACTTTTCCTTTTACTTTACTGTATTTTGGCTCTAGAGAAACTTACCTAAAATATAAAAGTTATTAATAATATTCATAAAAACTTATTTTATTTTTTGTGGGGAATGTTTCAGGATTATGAATTTCTAACTTGAGCAATTTATACAATAATTACTTAATTAAAAAATCTGACCAGTTAATCATTTGGAATTTTATAGTGTTAGTTTCTGAGGAAGTTTCCTTCTTCAGATACCTACTTACAGGAATTTTGATCTTAACTTTTTAAAAGTATTTTTTTTTATTTTTAATTTTTTCCAGATAAGGTTTTTCTCTGAAGTCTTGGCTGTCCTGGACTCACTTCCTAGACCAGGCTGTCCTTGAACTCACAGAGATCTGTCTGCCTCTGTCTCCCAGACTGCTGGGATTACAGGTATGTGCCACTGGGCCCAGCTTTATGTTCATTTTTAATCTGACAGCTTTATAGACAAATTTGTCTCCAAAAATGTAAGGAGAGTTTAGAGAAAGAAGACAATTCTGATGTAGGCCGGCTCCTCTTAGATGGAGGTGTTGAAACACGTGTGCCATGTAGCTTTCTAGTCTACCTTCTCTACCCACACTGAAGTGTGCACTTACCGTTAGTTTTTCATTAGGACACGTAACTCTGAGCCAAGCGCCATTCAGTTAAGTCACGTTTCACATCCCTCAATTATTTGTGCACATGTTAGTGGCAGTCTCTTGGCCAGTGGCCCTGTGGGTGTATGTCACCGTTGCTGCCTGCCGTGACACTGCGCTGTGGAGACACTGCTCTGACCACAGTGTTGTCCAGAGGCCACTTCCACACAAGGTGCTCAGTGCCACACTTCCAACTAATAACTGAAAAGTGCTCCGCCACGAGCGCACCTGTACTGGATGATTTTAAAACACTGTTATTGCCTATTTGTGGTTCTCTTCCTGACAACTGCCCCAGTGTGGCCCTTGCTTGCTTTGTAAAGTCTGGGGAAATGGTTAATGCAGAATGGGGTCACCCTCCGGCATCTGGATTGGCTGTCCCCCACTTGACCTCTCATGTCTCTGACATTCACGAAGAAGCTACACTGTGAAAGTCAAAGCCTGACGTTCATTTCCTAACCAACCTTCCCACTCTAACACATGAAACCACTGCTTACTCTCTCCACACTCTCTTCCCTCCCACCCCTCCCCCTATAAGTACAGGTCTCACCTCTGAGGCGCACCTCTGCTTTTCTTTTTATGAGTCCACGTTACAATTTTCTGTTGTTTCTAAGGTCCTGAATCTTGGATGCATTTTCGAATTATTTCTTTTCAGCTTCATTAATTGATGTTTCTCGATTTCCTTCTTTTTGCTTTTGTCTGGTATATTTCTAGACTTTGTAATACACTATCACCCTTCCTATGCATCCTATACTTTCTTAAGGTCTAAAGGCATTTAGTAATCTGACTATCAACCTTTACCTTCTTAAAATTTGATTATGAGATTACTCAGGCTTACATTTTCTGGGTAAGGGTAAGGCAGTTTTTATATACACTGCTCCAATTATTTCTGGAAGCCTCTTGTATTGTCTTCTTTGACTTGTGTTTATTTAAACATTTTTCTATTATGTTTGTTTTAAAAGTGGTTGCCTTTACATATTTTTTGTGTCTAGTGTTAACAGCTACTTTATTGTATCAAGGTTGAGGAAACAACAACAACAACAACAAAAACAAAAACAGGTCCTGAATTTGAAGGAGAGCACGGATGGGTATGTGGTCGAGCCCGGAGGGAGGGAAGGGGGAAATGTCATTAAAATACAATCTCGAAAACAAGCAAAAATAGCTGAAGATATGGCCTTAAAATTTCCCTTTACCCCTTTAGGAGTAATTTTTATACTATCCTCACCTCTTCCTCCCTGGGCATGACTGAATGGTGCTGCGGCAGAAGTTCTGGTTGAATGACAAAACATACAAGTAAACGGAAGCGGAACAGTTTCCATTATAAAAGCAGTGTTACCTGAAACATGTCTGTGTCTTTGTCATGTGTATACTCCACCACCACGGTCTGGCTCCTTGACAAAGTGTAGGATATGCTGTGCTGACCTTTGCAGCTGATAGCCTAATCATGAGAAAAAAAAAAAAAAAAAAAAAAAGAGAAAACCTCATTTAAATCTCATCTCAGCACACACTTCTGTTACAGTTCTGAGTCACCTCAATATCACAAAAACCCAGCTTCACCTCAGCGGTCACAGCCTGTCCCCATGCTCTGCCTTATAAACCAGAGGATTAAAAGGTCAAACTTTGGGAACCTTCATCATATACTCTATACAGGTGAAAAAAAATCAGTTAGTTTATTTGTAACACTTGATTAAATTAATTGTCAGAAAAATATATACATTCTCTTTACTGCCAAACTTAAGTGATAGAACTTTTAGCCTAACTATAGTGATTTTTTTAAATGTTAAAAATTTCCTTCACACATGGGTAAATTAATAACAATTTGTCCCACTGATTCACCTGTATTACAGAGATTATAAACACAGCAAAAGGTCACTGAAAACACTGTTAATATCCCACAAGGCTGTCTATGCGACAACATAATGTTCCAACCCACCACAACGGCCATTATCTACACTGGGCCCTGCATCTCAGCTACATCGTGTATAAGCGACTGCTGTGCTCATACATTTATATCTTAAAAATAAGACAACAGGATCTGATGATACATTACTGAAACTCCAGCTTGAAAGATGGAGGCAGGAGGATGGGGAGTTTGAGGTCAGTCTGGGCAACAAAGCAAGCGTTGAGAACCTAACTCTAAAATAAGGACAACTTACTGTAGTTCTTCTCTGTTTTCATTTTTTTAAAGAAAAAACCAATACTCTTTAAAAAATAATCTAGGAATAGTAAGACAAGTCATTGCTCATATTTTCCCATAACGATGTCTGAACACATCTTAAGTTGTTGTCAAATGCTTTTTAATATTTCTAAATTAATAAGGAAATTGATTTAAATGATACTCCAAATTGTTTCAATTACATTTTCTCTAGTACTTTAACTTATCTCCATTTCTACTTTTTTATTAAGTGTAATAAATAAAACTTTAATAAGCTTCCATAAACATTTACTGAAGGAAGGCAATGTCTGAAGAGCACAAACACCTTCTAAAGTAGCTGAACACACACAGCATGTAAACACAAAGGCTCAGGGCAGCCTTGTGGACTAGTGACTGCTCAAGCCAATAAGCAGCGGAGAATCCAAGTCACGGTGAGCCTGGCGACCCTCACAGATAGTGGACAGATCTAACAAGGGACTCGAGACTGATCTTTTATTTCAGAATACTGTAAGATAACGAAATTATTAAAGGCAACAGAGTCCTTTAATATGACCAGAAATCTCAAGAACACTTCTTACCTAACACCCCCAAGTGTAGTCTTCCAGCTCTTCACTGGTCTGAGTCAGATAAACTCTATCTCAATGTGAACAATATTCTATTTAAGTTAAATCAAACTTGCTTTACTACTTTGGAAGACTTAACCATATTGCTAGAGAAACACCTGCTTTCTCCCCCACTCCCCCCAATAAACATGCAGGTGTGTAGGTGTACTCGTACAAGGTCAGAGGTCAGCATCTCCTGTGTCTTCCTTTCAAATTCCACCTGCACATGTCTGTGATAGAAACTTAGGAGGCAAGTTCCTCACTCTCAAGACACTGTACCTTGAAGTTATTATAAAATTTACTTGTGCTTGCTAGTGTTAACATCCTCCCAATGTGCCAGAAATTGACATCTGGAAGATCGCCGATGCTGATGCTGGGGCCTGTCTCAGCCCCATGCGGGTGCCTTGGACACACCTCCACATCATCTGGGCACGTGACAGAAGCAGCCACTGTGCAGACGCCAGGCAACAAGTCTAATTTATAAAATATTCTTGTGTCCAAACCATAATCTTATATAAGAAACGCAAACCCCCAGCTTAGTTTTTGTTGTCCTCGTTTGTCTTTTTGTTGTTGTAAATACCATGACCAAAGGCAATTTGGGAGAAAATGGTTTATTTCAGCTTATACTTCCAGGCCACAGTTCATTTCTGAGGGGATTCAGGCAGGTTCAAGGTAGTTGGGAAGCACGTAGGAGTGATGATTTTCTGGCTTATGCTTGGCTAGCCTTTTCAAACAGCCGTGGCCTATCTGATGCCACTCACAGTAAGTTAGACCGTCCCACTTGCCAATCTGATAGAGGTAACTCTTCAACTAAGGGTTCCTCTTCCCAGCTGACTTTAGTTTCCATAAAGTTGACAGTAAAACTAGCACAGGTACTTACGGGGATGGACTGCCTTACACAGAAGCTGCTGTGGCGGAGGAGGCATGCCCCCGTCCTACAACAAACAAGCGAGGAGTGGAATTTTGTAGATTTGAATGCTTCTAGGACACTGTCAATACCCTCCATTTAACAAAATGTTATCATTCTAAGCAGCTGTGGGTTCTTTATGTTGTCAAACAGTCACAGACAGGATTAGGGAAGCTGAATGGTACTATGTTAAGAAAACAAGTTTTCTGCATCTTTGTGATTAGGAAAGTCATAGCTGAGGCCTATGATTGGAGGCTCTGGATTTTGGGGAAGATGGGGAAGTAAGGAAAGAGAGTCTGCGTAAGTTCCAAGAAACAGCCAGTGCTAAGCTGGCTCTCAGGGCACCGCTAGGGCCTCACAGCAGGGCTGGCCACTCTCATTCCCAGCTTCAAGGACACCACAGGCATTCAAGGATGAAGAAATGAGCAAATCAAAGAATCTGCCATAGACACAAGAGGACACTGGGATTTCCCGGCCTTGGGCCTTCCCTCTCCTGCCCTCGTTCGTTATTAACAAAAGTACTGATAGGAAACAATAGTGTTACTCTCAACTCAACTGTTTTGTGTCCACAAAAGACACTTTACTGAAAGTGTGAATTGGATTAAAATATGCAATCAGACAACTGTATCCGCATTTACAGCTTCTAGTCCATCCAACTGAAGAAGTGAAGCCTAACTCTCCAGACCCAGAGACCCATGTGGGCCCACTTTTGAGCCAGGCACTGCTTTCTTTAGCTTACCTGTTTTCCTGTGTGTGGCCCTGTGGCAGACTCAGCTTGCCCAGCCTTTGCAGTTAAGGGTGAGGACAGTCAGGGTACATGCTGGTTGAACTTTCAACTAAGAACCTGATGTCAGGGAGTTCTTCAGGTCTCTAGACTCAAAACCTACCAAAGCTCCAGCTCCTCCTCCTCTCAAATCTAGGTATGCCGTACGCTGGGTATATGATTTTCACATGCAAGGAAGGGGAATTCACTTTCTTTAAAACGAAACCAATTTGTCTACTACTACACATCTCTTGGAACCAAATGACTCAAAACTTTAATAGTGTCTTTTCCTAGGTGTCTTGGATGCCACTTATTACAGAACTGCAGGGCGCACGGCGGTATGACTGACTCAGAGAACAGTGTTTCTGTGAGTTCACTCTGCCCAGTGTCCTCTCTGGGTAAACGCAACCGGGGCTGTCTCTGCCTCCTGGAAGGGAAACCAAGACACTTGCTGAGGCTACATGCTGAAGGGCCCTCTCCCCTCTGACTACAGCATTCTCCGTCCTGTTCTGAGAGTGCTGCCTCGGGTATCCAAGTGTGCTGTTCTCCCCTGCAACAGCCCGCAGACACCACAGGAAGCTGGGAGGGAGGGTCTTGAGGCTGGAGAAGCTCAAGCCAAGAGATATTTTTTGTGCTCTGCCCTGAGGTGAGACCAGCATCTGCCCCACAGATATCTGATAGGTCATTGTGAGCTACGGCCTCATATTCTACTCTAGAAACCATGGTCCCCTTATTTTTGTTGCTTCTAAGAAGTTCAACCTATACTTCTGTTCTCAAAGGCCTTCTGAACAATGCTACCCCTGCAGTCTTTATAAGACCTGAGGGGCCAACTACAGATGCCCCACCAAGGCACCAATATGTTTCTGGCAGTATTATTTTATGTCACTCTAAATATTAATTCTAACTTGTAATGTAATATTTCAGTGCGCTGTATGATTTGCGGAAGTATACAAGGTGACTGCTGCAGAAGGATCTGATAAAAGGAGGAAACGGCCTGCAGTGGCCTCTCCCCGTAGGGCCACCGTTAAACATAAGCATCCCGTGACAAAGTGAACACCTGTGGAAACAACTTCACTGGTGTTATAGGAAACCATGATGAAACGCTTGGGGGTGAGTCTGAATGAGGCAGAAGAACTGCATCTTTTTTTTTTTTTTGGTCTAAATCAACTTTTGACCCATAGGTGTGCTGGAGAATCGTACCCACTAACAGGTAACTGTATGAGCCTGCTTGACTATGAGGAGGCCTGAAGCAACTGTTGGAGGATGAACCATCAAGCACTCTTTACTTTGTGATGCTAGGCAGAGCACATGGGTCCCAGGGTCTTAAGTACACACTGACACAGAATAGCAGCTCCATCAGCCAGTAACATCCCACACACGGGAAACAGCACTGCCTCCCTGCAACGCCCACTGAAAATTCAGATGTGTCTGAAGCTCATTCACACTGAACAAGCCCTCTCAGCACAAGTACTAGGTTTATTCTTCTGGGCTCCAACTTCACATGCACTTTAAGAAATAGAGGACATGGCCACACGTGGGCACTAAGGCCAACTTGGTCAGTGGAATTAATGCTAAGGAAGCACCACACTGAATCTGGCTCTAATCCTCGTCCAGATATTCATCAGTTTAAATGGCATCCCTTTCTGATTCTTCAGTGACCTTGATTCACCCACAAAGGGAGTCAGAGACAGCAGCTGTGAAGCACAAGGAGGGCTGTGCAGCCTGGCGCCTTTCCTTTCTTGCATGTCACGCTGTGCTTATGGCACAGGGTCAGCACCAAACGGGTTTGCCATCAGCTCCATGCAGTCCACCACGTGATGGAGATGACTATTCTCTCTGGCTTTAAGTACATGCTCGATATTGACTGCAGTAACTGGAGATAATCCTGGTATGACAAACACGTTTTTCTAGAACTAATGACTTTTATGTCAGGATGACAAGTATAATTAGGCAATAAATCCTCAATCAGTCTGGTTCAAATTGCTACAGGGAAGATGAGGTTTCTGCCATCCTTGTCAATTTATGTATAAAATATGTATGAGTACTATTTCTAAAGGAATTCTCAATTCATGGTTCATGTGCACCCAGCTTAAGATATTCCATTTTCCAAGGAACCATATAGATTTCAGACAAGCGCCTAAGCCATGGCTGTGATAAGAGAGGCACAGAGTGTGCTTAATCAAAAGCAATAGTATTTCCTAGTAAATGGAGATGATAAGACTACGTGATGGCAGCAAAGGTTTTGAACTTGGCACTTGGCCACTCTTGTTCCCATCCACACCAGCTTAGTGAGCTATTTTATAAGCCTTGGGGGGAGCCCCCCATGTACAGGGCTGGACAACACAGCCAATCAGCCATCTAGCAAGGCCAGAGGATGCTGAAGAAGCACCTGTCTGTAATTTGGGGTCACTCTTAACTACAAGGAAGCTGGATCTGGCTGGTGGTGGCAGTCACAAGAGACAACTGTATTCTGATGGTTCAGAAGACAGGGACAGCAAAGGCTACAGCAGAAATGCTACTTCCTGTGTTGTCTGAGAATCTGCCCCTGGGGACACCATCTATAGCTGCTCTGTGTCCATGTTAGTAAGCACAAAGTGCAGAGTAAGTCACAGTCTCACTGTGGTGGCTAACATTAGCAGCTTGACAGGATCTAGGGTCACCTAGGTGACCAGCCTCTGGGCGTGCCCGGGAAGGATGATCTAGGTTACTTCACAGAGGTGGTGAGACCCACTTTACTGTCACAGCCACAGGACAGTAACTGATACAGAAGCCTGGCACTGAGAAGTGGGACTACTGTTCTGATAAGCATGACCACATGGTCTCCAGGAGGCATGTTGAAGAGTTTGGAACTTTGATCTGGAAAAAGCCCTCTGAAGCTGTGAGCATAGCTTAATGGGCTACTGTGACGGGAGTTTGGAAGCTCGGAATCTGAGGGAAATGTGGACAGGAGAGGCCCAGCTCATGAGGTTTCAGAGGGGAACAAGGATTCTATCACGATCCGGAATAGGGGCCATTCCGGATATACTATGACAGAGTCCAGCCGCGTGCTATGTCCTGAGAACCTGAGGGAGACTGAAAATGGGCTAATGCCTTTGATGGCAGAAATGTCACGGCAGGATAGGATTCAGACTGTGATTTGGCTACTGCTCACTACTCCTGTCAAGGTCTACAGTGAAAACCGGTAACATGCCTACAGGTTTGTCTCCCACATGAGTCTCTATCCTGTCAACTGGCAGTGGGTGTCAACCACCACACTCATGTGCAAGTCTGGAGGTTGACTTATTTCTAATGCACAACCTCTTGTTTTGTCTTGCTTCTGGAGAAACTGAGACAGCACAGTTTTCCTCATAGGAAAGCTGAGATTTGAACACACTATACATACAAACACGTTCCCATTACCAGGCCCACACTGCACAACAGTTGCCATAGAGGAAGCCTACTTTATCCATGCAACATGCAGAATTCTATCTCTTTTTAGGAACATCTCCCCACACTGGCTGTGTGGCAGCTCCTGACAGACAATGGGGAAGGATTAGGTCCTGAGAGCGCCCCTGAAGGGTAAGGAAGCCACTGTAATCTGGTGTGGGGTGGGGAAGTGCTTCTCAGAAGACCCCTTTATAAAGATGGCAGTGCATCTGCCTTCAAACACTTCATGGTTCTAGACATGAGCAAAGAAGAACATGTGAAAAAGGAAGATTTCAATAGTACTTCTTGAAATACCAAGTGTTTTGGCAAAACTAAAGCAATATTTTCTCATTGCTGCATATGTTAAACTTAACAAACAGACTCAGGGTAGAGAGTGGTAGCTGTAACAGAAAAATATTTAATCAGTCAACAGAAAGTGCTTTAAAGGGCATATGTGAATCTGTCTACTATGATCCTTTAACAGATAACTTCTCTTAATATGTACACTGACAAATATATGAGGTACTCACCCCAGGAAGCAAAGTTTATTTAAAGAGTGAATATGAATCATAGGTAGAATAAAGCATCTTACAAATGACTTCATTCAAAACGCAAACTTCATTGTCCAATAGTTCCACTTAGGGACTTCCCACTTCGTTGGCCTCATTAGGCAAATTTCCAGAAATTTGTCCTGACAAATTGATTTTATACTAAGACACCCAAAGATCCGCTCGCTCTCTCGCTCTACATATATGTATGTATAGAATCATGGAAATACTTATTTTCAAAAGAAAACATGAATCTTGGCAGTTGGCACTTTCAAAATGCTGAATCTGTTAGATTCAAGGAAA